GTTACCAAAGAGAAACTCTACCACTGCTCCCGTTGTGATAAAATATTTAGCATGAACACCAGTCGGGTGATACACAAGAACACTCACACTGGGGAAAAACCATATGAGTGTCTGTATTGTGGGGAATGTTTTGTGAATAATTCCAAGCTTGTGACACACCAGAGGACTCACACAGGAGAGAAGCCATATGAGTGTCTGGATTGTGGGAAAAAGTTCAATCATAATTCGAACCTGGTGATACATCAGCGGACTCACACTGGAGAAAAACCATATGAGTGTCTGTATTGTGGGGAAAGTTTCAGCCAGAATTCAAACCTGGTGGCACACCAGAGGACTCACACTGGAGAAAAACCATATGAATGTCTGTATTGTGGGAAAAGTTTCAGTCAGAATTCCAACCTGGGGAAACACCAGAGGACTCACACGGGAGAGAAACTCTATTGTTCAGATTGTGGGAAAGGTTTTACTTGCAATTCTGACCTTGTGTTACACCAGAGGACTCACACAGGAGAAAAACCATATGAGTGCCCAGATTGTGGAAAAAGTTTCAGGCGGAATTCCTCCCTTATAGAACACCAGAGGACTCATACAGGAGAGAAGCCATATGAGTGTCCAGATTGTGGGAAAAGTTTCATTAATAAGTCTTACCTAATGATACACAAGAGGACCCACACAGGGGAGAAACCATATCAATGTGCAGATTGTGGGAAAAGTTTCAAGCGTATTTGCCATCTGGGGAGACACCAGAGGATTCACACAGGAGAGAAACCATATGAATGTCTGGATTGTGGGAAAAGGTTCAGACAGAGTTCTACCCTGGTGATACACAAGAGGACTCACACAGGAGAGAAACCATATGAGTGTCCGGACTGTGGGAAAAGTTTCAGTCAGAATTCTCATCTGATCTTACACCAGAGGTCTCATACAGGAGAGAAACCATATGAGTGTCTGGATTGTGGGAAAAGTTTCCAGCAGAATTCCAAGCTGGTGATACACCAGAGGAATCACACAGGAGAGAAACCATATGTGTGTGCAGATTGTGGGAAAAGTTTCAAGGATAATTCCAAACTGGTGATACACCAGAGGAGTCACACAGGACTTTGATCTGTTTAGAGGAATCTTTAATTTCATTTTTTGTCTCTTACTGAAAGCCCAGCTGAGAAATCAATATTTTCATTTATTGAGTGATTCTTTTTAGTCAAGCATGTCTTATTATTAAACATGAGGGAGGAGATCTGAGCTCCCTTAGTTTGGCATAATGGTCAGAGAGTCAAAGGGAGGTGCCATTCGGGCCAGAGAAAGCAGGTTTGGATCTCTGTTAGGTGTTTGTTGTCTTGAGTTATTTCTATGTATAATACAAGAGGATATAAACATGTATGTTTGTATTTTTACTTAGCATCTTATGGCAGCCCAACCCATTGTGACTCCACATGGTTTACAACAGAAAAACCTTAATACAGAAACCAATAAACCAGAGGTGGTGTTCAGCAGGTTCTGACCAGTTCTAGAGAACTGGAAGTGGAAATTTTGAGTAGTTGAGAGAACCCACAAATACCACCTCTGACTGGCCCCGCCCCAATCTCTCCTCTGCCTCCCGAGTCCCAGATGATTGTCTGGGTCTTCTTTTGTTGCCCTGCACAGGAGAATGGAGCTGGAAAGTAGGTTAGTGGAGTGGGGGAGGGAATGGGATTTTGCAGTATTCTTCACCCAAGAGTGGGGAGGGAATGTAGATTTTACAGTAACTTTCCCCTGCCACGCCCACCAAGCCACGCCCACAGAACTGGTAATAAGCTACAGTATTTTGAATCCCATCACTGCAATAAACCCCCAAAATTGCAAATTGCAAAGCCTGCACATTTAACATGTACTTGCCCTGGAAATACAAGGCACGTCTAGCAAGATTGATGGCATTTGGATGGTCTGCGAATTTCAAAAAGACGGTTCTTGCTATTGTTCAATTTAGAAGTTAACCAGGCCTCCTGGCCTTACTAATTATGTTTGTGCCTGTGGCTCTTGCTCAAAATTGGTCATCTTTCTCCTTGCAACGATTTAAGTTGGAGAAGTTCACTGCAAGAATAGCGGCATGTAAGTTTTATAAATTTAAACAAACACCTGGTTCCAAATCAAGCTTCTGATGCGTAGCCATCTCTTCTTATCCCAGTGCTTAGGGGAATAGCTAACAGGCATTAACAGAGTTGGAAGGGACTTTGTAGGTCATCTAGTCCAACCCTCCGGCCAAGCAGGAGACGCTACACCGTTTATGACAAATGACAGTCCAGTCCTCTTCTTGAAAGCTCCCAGTTATGAAGCTCGCACAACCTCTGAAGGCAATCTGTTCCATTGGCTTTCTCACTGGCTGAGAACATTTCTCCTTATTTCCAGGTTGAATCTCTCGATCAGTTTCCATCCATTGTTCCTTGTCTGGCCTTCAGGTGCCTTGGAAAATAGCTTGACCCCTTCCTCTCTGTGGCAGCCCCTCAAATATTGGAAGACCGCTATCATGTCTCCCCTGGTCCTTCTCTTCACTAGAGTAGCCATGCCCAGTTCCTGTAACCGTTCTTCATATGTTTTAGCCTCCAGTCCCCTAATCATCCTGGTTGCTCTTCTGTGTGCTCTTTTTCTAGAGTCTCAGCTTCTTTTTTATAGTGTGGTGACCAAAATTGGATGCAGTAGCAGTAGCACTTAAGCTTATATACTGATTTACAGCACTTTACAGCCCTCTCTAAGCAGTTTACAGAATTTACAGAGTCAGCATATTGCCCCCCAACAATTTGGGTCCTCATTTTACCCACCTCAGAAGGATGGAAGGATGAGTCAACCTTGAGCCTGGTGAGATTCGAACTGCAAAATTGCCAGCAGCCACCATGGCTCATTTTAGGTGGGATCTTTCTAAGGCTTTATAGAGTGGTATTAGTGCCTCATTTGACTTTAATGGTATCCTTCTGTTAATGCATCTTAGGATTGCATTGGCTTTTTTGGCTGCCACACCACACTGTTGGCCCATGTTTAGCATGTTGTCCACTAAGACCCCAAGATTCCTCTCACAGTTATGCTGTTAAGTCTGGTTTCACCCAGTATATATGTGTGCTTTTGGTTTTTCTTGCCTAAGTTAATATTTTACTAGATCTTTCTTCATTTCAAAAGACTAGGAGGCTAAAAGCCTGCCAAACTTCAGGGGGAGAAGAGTGTTCCAGAGGGAAGGATCTGCAACAGATAAGACTCACTTCCTAGCTTCTATTCAACAGTGATGTTTAAGGGAAGAGACTCTGATCTTATCTGACCTGGTAGGACCAATGGATGCAAAAATAATAAAGGTGGGACAATAATGATAGTTGCCCTGTTGGCTCAGTTGTTAGAATGCGGTATTGCCAGCTGACTGCCCACAGCCTGGAACTCGATCCTGACAGGGCTTGAGGTTGACTCAGCCTTCCGTCCTTCTTAGATTGATAAAATGAGGACCCAGGTTGTTGGGGATAATCAACCGAAAGTGCTATAAAGCACTGTGGGTGGTATATTAATTCTAAGTACTATTGCTACAATATAGAAATAACTTTAAAGTTGATGAGCAGCATCTTGAGTTGCACTTGTAGAGAAACGAATCTAGTACAACTTGCACAACAAAGAGGTAATATCTGCAAATCTAGGGACTCCCATTAACTCTGCGAAGCTGCATTCTTGACCAGTTGAAGTTTCTGAGTGTTCCAGTGCAGTGATTCAAACAGGAGGTGACCAAGGCATGAGTGACCCATGTGCAAGGCCTCCCTGGTCCAGGAAAGGGCACAATTGATGGAATAGATGAATATGCAAAGCCCCTCCCCCACCCATGATCTTCTCAAGCA